TTGTTACTCTGCCCTTTACACCGAGTGTTACGCACAAAGCTACACTCCAACTGGGTTTTTCACTCTCTCCAGTTACTCTACCCCTTTTCTACACTCAGTAGAAGATTTACAATGAAATACAAAGATTTCTCTCACTCAGACTTGAATTCTATCGTGTATGCTCAATATATCACTTCTTGGTTGATTTGAATATTGCTTGCTTTTCTCTTGCTTGTAATTTTTCAGCCGTGTTCAAGTCGTGTTCCAGCCCACTTTGTCTTCAAGTCTGCTTGGATAATTTATAGCTAGTGAAAGCTATTTGCCCGTTGATCAACTTTCGATCTTGATCGTCCATTTTGAATTGTAGTTGATCTGATAATTTTGTCAACTTGATCTGCAATTGTAGGTAGATGTCATTTCTCCTTTTTGTCAGATGATTTGAATAAATTGCCCGTTGCCGTGTCTTGAATTTTGTAGCCTCCAAAATTTGAATAAGTTCGGCGCGGCGTGCTTGATTTTCTTCTCCTTCATAAATGCTCTGACATGTCAAGTTGATCAAATAATTTAACTGCTGATTCTTGCTTGAGTATAAAATTATTTCTCCGCAAATCAGCCTTCTTCGAGCGTCTCCGGTTCCACCGTAAAAACTTGATGTTCAGATGAAAATATATATCAGATATTTTCTCCTTCATATTCCTTGTAAAATATTATACTGGAACCTCTGTAAAAACTCCATTGTTGTTCACGGTGAGATGCTCTGTTTCGAATTTCAAGCTTAGTCCACCATACTTGGTATGTTTCTCCATATGGTGCATGGCTTATGTGAGACTTGTGCATTTTCCTTAGCTAGTCTCTCCTTGGCTAGTCTCCATTCTAGTTAGTCTCTCCTTAGCTAGTCTCCATACGGTTTTGTATACTTTGAGCTAGTCTCTCATACTTCTCCAAGCTAGTTTCCCATACGATTATACGGTCCAAGCTAGTCTCCCATACGGTCTTCGTATACATTGAGCTAGTCTCTCATACGGTTATACGGTCCAAGCTAGTCTCCTACTCTCCCATATGATCCAAGCTAGTCTCCAATACAGTGATGCTAGTCTCTCATACGGTGGAGTTAGTCTCTGTCCAAGCTAGTCTCCAAAGCAAGCTTAAAAATTGCTTCACTTGAGATTTGAACTAAGGATCACTTGACTTAGCTCACACACATTTCTTCCAACTCCTCTAGCATGGTTCTTGGTGATTTCTCCGCAACATAATTATGTTAAGCTATAATCCCGCTTAACATCGAAAATCAAAATATGATTTTCCATACTTGTACATGGGTTGCATGATATAGGTGCACCATACTCCGTAGACTAGGACTGACTCAAATAGAATAAAATTGGGGACTACTTGATTTTTCAAAAATACATCCGGCTCATCAAAATTTACAATATATTCCTAACAAGGAACAACCTAGATAAGAGGCTGAGTACTTTTGGAAAAAATTCAAGAGGCTAGTTACCTATAAAAACTATTGTTTCATTGTAAGAGGCTGAGTACTTTTGAGGAAAACTCAAAAATTTCATAAAGAAAATTACCAAAGAACAACCTAGGCAAATTACCAAAGGTTAACTTTTGTTTAATTGTAAGGCTAGTTAAAATTCAAGAGGTGATGAATTCATGGTGGATCTCACTTTTGTGGTCAAACGAAGCTATAGAAAGAATTACAAAGTAGTACACTTATTGGTCATTCTTGTGATATGTGTACTTGTGAGGTTGAGCTATAACTCTTAATGAAGTCATAATTATGTGAGACAGGTGGTTCTATTGAGACGAATTTAATGGATTCACCGCTAGGGGTATAAGCGAATCAAATCGAGTCAAATATCTTACTATTCAATTCGAATTCAATTACATTGAGGACTATTCGTATTCGTACTCGTTGAATATTCGAATCTCAAATTTTATTTGTATTCGATTCCGCTACATTATTCGAATACATTCGATTCGACTCGAATATTCGAATTCAAAATGCCTACCTTGATTTTTTAAAAGTTTTAATATAACATTTTGTGTGTCTGTGTATCGAATACTAGTCGAGTCGAACATACTCTAATTTGTATTCGTATTCGAAAAAAATCGAGTTGAAATATGTATTCGAATTTGGATTCATATTCGTTTTATTCGAATTCGAATCACAATATATGAATTCGAAGCACGAATCGAATTTAAAGTATTTGATTTGTTTACACCCGTATTGACCGCTTAATATTTGAGAGGGTGAGCATATATTGCTCTTAATAATTCTATATCCTCATTTGGGTAGTTTATATTGAGATACACTTAATGAAATCACTTATTTGAGTGAAAAGGGTTAGTCGTCTTTTTTTGAAAGTCCTCATTTGCATCTTGAGGCTCAGTTGGACTAAAATATATGTAGTTTTTTGCAAAATTTATACAAATTTTAAGGTGCGATGCGTATCACTTCGGTTTAAACCTCTAGTCTAAAAGTTCAAGAATCATTCGCTCACTAGACATGAGAATACCATATGTCACTACATTCTAGTTCAAAATTCGTCCACTCATACCTAATGACCAAGATTCATTAGATAGTTTGTGGCCATATTTGTTTAGTTGTTACTATTTAACCAAGGTTAATACTCTGAGTATCTTGTGTAAGTTTCAATCTCTACTTTGGATGCACAGGACGGGGGTTACTTTGTTAATTTTGGGGGCAACGCTATTGTTATGAACTTACACCAATAGTGGCGAATTCATTTGTATGACAATAAATTTTTCACAACACAATATTTCTTTATTTTTAGTTTATATTATCAGTCTTGCTTCCCCAACAATCTCCAATGGGCTTGATGTCTTGGATGGTATTCATCAAACACCTCCTCGTAAGTGACCCATGCTAAGGAGTACAGTGCTAGCTTTGACATCACTGGCTAAAAGATTCTTAGGCTAACATTATCCCTGTAAACATCTCCCACTCTAAAAAATGGGTCCCACTTTCACATCATCTTATTTGCAAATCATCTACTATTCACACCACATCCCTACAGATTAAATCTAATCAAATTTGCAAAAGTGGACTCCACATGTTAAAATAATATTATTAATTATAAAAAGTAAAGAAAAAAAAGTACAAAAGCTGCCGCAGGGGCTTTGCAAATTTGCAACAGTTGCAAATTTGCAAAGCCCTTAACTATATATAAAAAAAATGATGATGTGGCTAATCCACATCATCTTGCCAATCCCTTCTTGGCTAGGATGTGGACAGCCTTAGCTTGGGCGGAGTCCAAAAACCTGGCATCATCATTATTGAAGTAATACAAAATAAATAAATAAAAAGAATTTTAATTATAACACGCCAAAGTTATAAGAGATTTTTAAGATTAATTAAATTTGCTATGAGATTGTTAGGAATATTTTGAAAATAGATTTTGATGAGGCAAAGTTTATTTATTTTTAGTTAAAAGGAATTAATATTTTAAATTTCATTGTTAAAATGTATTTAAAAATAGTTTAAGTACACAACTTAGAAGAACTCTTGAAGTGACACAAAATTGATTGAGGATGTACATGTCAATTCTGGAATGAATTTTAAGGTAAGGAAAGAAAAATGGTGTATTAAAAATTGTGCATTAAATTGTTAAGAAGAATAGAAAACTTAATAAGGAGCAAAGTTAGTAGAAGAAGAAAAATTGGAACAGAGTTAGCACTTAGCAGAAGAGATTGCAGAAGAGTTTACAGACAAGGAGATGATGAATTTGAATCCTCAAAGAGAAAATTAAAGAGCAAAATAAGGGACAAAGTTAGTAGAAGACGAAGAATTGAAGCAAGTTATTATAAGAGATTTAAGAAGAGTTTAAAGAAAAGGAGATGATGAGTTGTAATTTCAAAGAACAAATAAATCGAGCAAAAGTTGAAACAAAGATTGGAGAATAAAAGGAAAAGGGAAGTTCGACTCTCAAAGTTGAAGAGAAGAATTAAGAGTAAAGTTTGGATAAGAGCTCAAGTAGAAGAGAAGCAGAGTTCGAATCTTCAAGGAGAAATTTTAAGAGCAAAATTAATAGAAAACTTAGTAGAAGATTGTAGAAGAGTTTAATTTGGAGCAAAGATGATAGAAGATTTTGTGTTTTTGTGGGGAAGAATTCCGAGATAATCCAAGTTTGATTTTCATAAGTGACCATTCAAAGCAAAATGTTGTATAGTAGAAGAGGAAATAGCAAAGGTTGGAGAATCTCTTATAGAAGAGAATCAGAGCACGATTATATTGAAGCATAATTTAGAGATCAATCACTCAACAAAAATAAAGACTAAAAGCGCAAGATGATGATCAAATAAATTGAAGCATGTTATAAACAAGACATTATTATCCATTTTGTAACAGTTGTAACTGATATACTTATGTATACACCTTTGTATAAGAAAGACTCATAAATTAGAAGATCTGACTTTCCTCTCCATTTCTCTGTGTCTTCATTCTTCTTGTTGATTGCAATTTCTATGATTCTATAACAAAGCACAATTAAACGATTATATTGGAACATAGTTCAGAGATCAATCACTCAATAAAAATGAAGACTAAAAGGACGAGATGAAGATCAAATAAATTGGAGATCAACGAGCACAAGTCATAAAAGTACAAGTTGAAAGCACAAGTGATCAAATGCAAATATTTGAAAATAAAAAATTACAGAAGATGATCACTACACACCAAAAGCACAACTTGCACTAAAATTCATTTTTTTTTTTATATTATTCAAGTTCTAAGGATGAAACATGCCAAATATGGAAAAGAACTCAAAAGTTAATAAAACAACCGTTTATATGTCAATATGCAATGTAGTTCCTAGTTTTCAATTTGAACAAATTTGATACTTTAATTATTCAATCGTAGTCAATTTAATTTTTCTGTGAAATCTTCCTTTAAGAATTTTACTCCCCACCAATTATATAATTTTACGGAAGAATTAAATTAAGTACATTTAAAATAATTGAAATATCAAATCTATTTAAATTAAAAATAAAAGGAATAAGGGCCAAATTGGCCACTGAACGTAACGCGAAAGTGCAATCAGGCCACTCAACCTAAAAAAAGTGCAATTAGCCCATCCAACAGTCCAAATTCCTCCAATTTCACCTGCTAGCCGGTGGAAAGCCATTCTTTCCGGTTTCACGCTGATGTGGCATTCTACGTGGCATTAGTAGACAATTTCATTATTTCCTTCATTTATTCCCTTTTCCACCGTGTATTAACATCACCAAAACAACCCAAATCCACCCAAATTCCCAAATTGCTTTAGACTCCTTCCCTCTTCAACTTCCTTCGCTCTTCAACTTCGCTCTTCTTTCGCTTCTTGATTCCGAAAACCCTAGCCTTAGTCGTTCACTGGTTCCAAATATCGTTGTTCTTCTATTTCTCTTCTTCTTACAGACACCCTAGTCGCAGTGGTAAGTGCAATGGCTTTTTCTACTTCAAGGTCGTCTTCAACTTCTCCAAAATTACCGAATCGCAATTATACTCTCCAATACGAGCCATCTATGTACTGTAAATGCGGATTGAAATCCCCATTATGCACAGCTCGGGATAGTGGAATGAAATTTTTTGGATGCCAAAATTGGAAGGTTAGATTTTTTTACTTTTGTTATATCATTTTTTGTTTTAGTTTTCTTCAGAATTATCGTACTTTTTTCAGGGCAATGGATGTGGATTTTTCGTTTTCGTTGAGGATATTATGCAAGGAATTGGACCTATAGAGTATGAATCTACCAAAACAGATTTAATGGAGTTAAAAAGGCTTGTTAGAAGTTTAAGAGATGAAGTTGTGGTGGTCCAAACGAGATTGGGGAGTATTGAAGAAGCTATGAAGAAAATGGATGGAATTGGGCACCATAATTCTGTAAAAATGGCTAAAGTTGTAGTTGTAATTGTTTTAGCTGCCATGGTATGGTTTAATGTAAGTTTATGAAGAAACCTCAACTTGGTTGTATTATGTAAATTAATGCTAGCTGTCATGGTATGGTTTAATGCATTGTTGTTTACTGATTTTCAACTTTCAAGTTTATTTTGTTTAATGCTAGTTTATTGATATGGTCATCTTTGAGAGATGTTGGTATTATAATTGCAAATGAGTTAAGTGGTCATTTTAGGCAAGAATGGTCATGTTTATTGAACTGTTATAAGCCATCTGCCAATGAGTTAAGTGGTCATTTTAGGCCAGAATGGTCATGTTTATTGAATTGTTATAAGTCATCTACCAATGAGTTAAATGGTCATTTTATGCAAGAATGGTCATGTTTATTGAACTGTTATAAGCCATCTGCCAAACTGCAAGAAAAAAACATAACCAAGCAAAAGCTGCCAAACAGAAATCATACACCATAACTCATAAACCAGAAAAATTAAACCATAAAGCTGCCCAACAGAAACCATACACCATAACTCATAAACCAGAAAAATTAAACCATAAAGCTGCCAAACATAAACCATACACCATAACTCATAAACCAGAAAAATTAAACCATAAAGCTGCCAAACAGAAACCATACACCATAACTCATAAACCAGAAAATTAGGCTAGAAGTTACAAAATGCATTTGGCAGTAGCATTCACAAGTTTACACAGTTAATTAGGCTAGAAGTTACAAAATGCATATAGCAAAATATTAGGCTAGAAGTTGGCATTTGGCAGTAGCATTCACAACTTTACATAGTTAATAGCCAAAATATCATTACAAAAAGATTGTTCCACTAGAAGTCTAAATGCCCTAACTTCTGGAACTACTGATTCTTCTTGGTAGATGCACTTGTATTCCCTCCAACTGATAGCACTTGTTGTCCTCTTTGTCCAGGCTACATAACGCATAAAGGTTAATACATTAGTCACGGTAGTTATTAAATCTGAAATTATTTAAATATAAGAACAATGATTTACTTACATTTAATATTTGTGCTCCAGTATTTGGGTTGATGTATACACCAAAGCCACCTGATCTTTTTCTTTGTTTACTTCTCCTAGAAGTTGAGGCAGAAACTGGTGTAGAAGTCGAGGCAGAAGCACCACCTGAAACAGCAGATGGCATAGAACTCTTTGTAGGGCAAACTCTCTTTTGATGTCCCTTTTGTTTACAAATTGAACATGTCATGATTCGACCTTGCCTTGAAATTTTTCCAACAGGGGGTTCATTAGGCTCACGGGTTCTTTTTTTCTTTGGTCTACCAGTCATTGGCCTTGGTAAAGGTGCTAGTATTTCTTCAGAATTAGTTCTAGGCCAGCAGAGTTCACCATTGAGTGGCTGGATAGTGTGACTGTAAATGTTGTTGTACACTTCCTTGGAGTAGCATTCATCAATGTATTGCTCTGGATCTCTACCTAGATCAAATATGGCACAACAAGCATGTGCACAAGGTATACCTGTTAGGTCCCAAGATCTACAGGAACATGTTTTCCTTTGTAGCTTCACTTTGAATTGTTGCCTTCCCTTCTTGATCTCATATCCATCATCCCCGTTGAAGTCAACATGCCAACCTATACTTTCAACAATGTTCTCATTGAGCTTTTTCATTATCCTAGGTCCAAAGTTACCAGGCCATTTCTCTACCGCTTTTCTGCATCTTGCAATCCTTGTCATGGTAGCTACCCTTATATCTTCCAACATCTTCACTATTGGCTTGCTCCTTGCCTTAACTATTGTTCCATTAAATGCTTCACACATGTTGTTGTCTACTGAATCACATTTCACTTCAGTTCTCATGAAAGCCTTACACCAATACTTTGCAGGATAGTTGGCCAAATCAGCTTTAGCTTGTGCATCCTTTAATCCTAGTTGCTCAACCATTGCTTCAAACTGCTGTGTAGTGGTTGCATTTGCACACATCCAAAAGTGCCTTTTCATTACCTTTCCTCTATGTTTCTTGCTCCAATTAGCATGTATATGTCTTGCACAGTTCCTATGTTCCACATTTGGCAAAAGCTCCTGGATAACACTCACTAAACCCTACAGAAATAGAAATAGAAACACAAATAAAAACTGTAGTTATTTAAGCTTATTTAAACACAAACAGAAATAGAATCAGAAACTATACTTATTTAAGCTTTTGTTAACAAGAAACAGAATAAAAAACTGTACTTATGAAAGCAGAAGTACTTATGAAATGAGAATCAGAAACTGTACTTATTTCAGCTATTGTTAACAAGAAACAGCATAAAAAACTGTACTAATGAAAGCAGAATCAGAAACTGTACTTATTGTTAACAAGAAACAGAATAAAAAATAGAAGTAAATATGAAATAATGTAGAGTACCTTTTGTTGATCTGAAATTATTGTCCAATTCCAGCTATTGTTAATAGCCAAGTCCTTAATCAACAACTGTAAAAACCATCTCCAAGAGTCTGTGTTTTCTATCTCAACAACTGCCCAAGCTATTGGATACATCTGATTATTTGAATCCCTCCCAACAGCAGCTAAGAGCTCACCTTTCATCCCCCCTTTAAGAAAACAACCATCCAAACCAAGGTCTACACCCAGATAGAAACCCACTTTTCATTGCTTGGAAACAAATATATATTCTCTGAAATGTAGAAGGTGTTTCTGGAACTACCTTAGTAGTATGAATCTTTACAGTGCTTCCAAGATTAGAGTTCAAACATTCTTCACCATAATCTCTTATTCTCTTGAATTGCTCTGAATACCCTAGATTCACCCTGTGCAAAACTGCTTTTTGTACCCTTCTCACCATAGTGATGGTCAAATTAATCTTCAACTCAGACTGAATATGATCCCTAAGCTTGGTATGTTGCATGGTTGGGTCTTTTATAATTATATCCTCGTACTTTTGTTCCAACCATTTTTGAGTAACCAATTTGAGCTTGTATTTGTTATTGCACCTATGCTCAAGTAGGCATGTTTTCAGCTGGAAACACATATACCTTTCTTCCCAACTACAATGACAAACAAAAGGACAGCCCTCAACACATTTAACCCTCACCCTCATACTCTCATTCTTGTAAAAGTATATATTTCTTTTAAAGTGCACTGCATACTTGATCATGGCAGTCTTAAACTGTGTTGCATCCTCAAATAACATCCCTTTTTCAAGCTCAGGGAAATCACATTCTGGATTATACGCTGGCAGCTTATATTTTTTAGATGGAGGTGTTATATGTTGTTCAACTTCTTCTTCCTCTGACTCTTGGGTTGGTGGGTCTGCTGAGTCATAATAGTAGTCATCACTACATGCCTCACCCTCAACTGTTTTTTTTTTAGAGCCATCTAGGTTCACTTCATTGTCCTTGCCCTTAACCTCATTTTCCTTTCCATTTCCCTCAACTGTATCATTCTCTTGTGTAACTCCTCCAACATCATTTTCAAAATCAGAATTCTCACTGTCTACTTCATGAGAATCATCATCACCTTCATTCCCTTCATCACTCCCTTCACCATTCCCTTCATCACTCCCTTCACCATTCCCTTCACCATTCCCTTCATCACTCCCTTCACCATTTCCTTCATCACCAGGTAACAAATGACCTGGAACTAATTCAACATCATCTATTCCATGATCTACATATATATCACATGATTTAAATCTAATTGCTAGTGTAGTGAGGTCTAGCACACTTGCATCATTCCACAACAGTCTTAGTTTGTCCAATGGCTCATGGAGTGCTTTATAATACATTGTCTCTATTTTTCCACACTGACCTTCTTTTATAAACTTCACCAAGTGTGGATATGAAAGTAAATCTGGGTCTATATCAACACACCAAACATCCCCATTTATGTACTGCGGTTCTTTATCTTTAACAAAATTCCCCCCATGGTGTATTTGTAGTTCTACAGTGGTCATCACTACAAAACCTAACAACAAAACAAACCATTCAAAGCATTTAAATTACACAATTTATCCAGTTATATAAAAAAACCTGACTGAATTTTTAGGGTTTATGTTAGACAATTCTGACTCAACATTTTTAGGCAGTAACCAACATTTTTAGGGTTTAGACAGTGAGTACTTTTCTACTACTTTAGTGTTATGGTTTAGGGACCACAACTCTGACTCCAAATTCCATTAAACAATATAAGCAATTTTCAACTTTATTATGGTTTAGGGACCACAACTGTGACTCAGTTTTCCATTACAGAATGCACACCAAACAACATCAAGTTCTGTACAACAAAGCTTAGCAAACGACAAGGATGGACTATATAGTACAACAACAAAACTAAACAAAACCAGAGATGTCGGCATTTAAGTTTACAAACAATATACAGTCGCAACATTATCACAAAAATAAATAACAAACAAATCGAAACCCAACAAATTCATACCTGAACAAAAGAAATTGAAAATGCGAAGTGAAAGCCTCCAAAGTCTTCAAAACAACGAATTTGCTTCGAACATTGTTGGGGATTTCTTTGATTTGGGGATTTCTTCTAGTAGAGAGAGTAATATGGAGTAGACGAACTGTATTTCATCAATTAGGGGATTTGGGTGGGTTTTGATGGTTTAATTTGCTTTTGTCATTTTTTATTTAATTTAAATTTCATATATATCACGGTAGAAAAGGGAAAAAAAATGAAGGAAATAATGAAATTGTTTACTAATGCCACGTAGAATGCCACCTCAGCGTGAAACCGGAAAGAATGGCTTTCCACCGGCTAGCAGGTGAAATTGAAGGAATTTGGACTGTTGGATGGGCTAATTGCACTTTTTTTAGGTTGAGTGGCCTGATTGCACTTTCGCGTTACGTTCAGTGGCCAATTTGGCCCTTATTCCAAAATAAAAAACAACATTGCATATCCCCTCATAATTGAGGGATAAAAAACAATTTTCCCATTATTTTTTTTGGTAGGAACAATTTTCCCATTATGTCAAAACACAATACATAACTTTATTATAACCTATGACATATTAAAATTACCTTAAAACTTAATTAGGACATTTGTAGATTCATATACAGAGAGAGTGATCAGAGAGGAGTCGGACTGCTTTGATCCAGTTCTGTTTCCTGCAATCGAACTCGAATTGTTGCAGTAAAGCACGAAGAAGATCAGAATAAGAGATCCGATTCCAATGGCGTCTCGGTACTGGGTGGTTGCTCTTCCCGTCCGGCAAACCTCTTCCGCCACTTCTCTCTGGAATAGCCTTCAGGACTCCATCTCCAAACACTCTTTCGACACTCCTCTCTACAGAGTACGCTTCTCTCTCCCTCTTCTCCTGAGATCTGTGTACAAACTGCTGATTAATTTTCTCCGTTGAATCTCGCAGTTCAACATTCCGAATCTCCGTATTGGAACTTTGGATTCGCTTCTTGCGCTCAGCGATGATCTTGTCAAGGTGAAGCAAATTTAATTTCTTATAAATTTTAGGTTACGATTTTCAAATAGCTATAATGATTCGCTATATTGTTTTTTCACAATCTGAGACTTTTGCAGTCGAACAGCTTCATTGAAGGGGTTTGTTCGAAGATACGACGCCAGATCGAGGAGTTGGAGAGGGCTTCTGGTGTGCTCAGTAGTTCCCTTACAGTGGATGGGGTTCCAGTGGACTCTTATCTCACCAGGTAATTCCAGTTTTTAATGGTTTCTATGTATACAAGTTTGCCTCTTATATTGTCTAATAACATTCTCATTTATGTTGTAGATTTGTGTGGGATGAGGCCAAATATCCAACAATGTCCCCTCTCAGGGAGACAGTTGATGGGGTTCACACCCAAGTTGCTAAGATTGAGGATGATCTTAAGGTAGGGCCTCTCTAACTTCTTGATTTCATTAAGAATTTAAAGAACTGATAAATATGTATGAGCAGCCACGTGTGTCAGTACTAGGAGACTTTTGAGTTATGCCTACAAGGCTACAACCTACCAATACTGAATAGTTCATGATGCTATTTGAGTCGGATTTTTGTTTCATGCATCAATATAGGCAGAGTAGTCATATGAAACTTTTTATAAGGATTTTACTTGATTGTATCTATAGAACTTCAGATGTGAATATAGGTCACGTGGTTATGCATTAGTATTAGATACTTAGATTACTTGGATTGCATAAAATTTTTGTCTGTAAGGTTAATACTAGGAGCAGTGCTCCAAGCAAAGGAAAACGTTTCTTGGTTTGCTCCTAGTTCGTGTAGGTTATCTGAGTAAACTTTTAACCTTTTCTTATGATGATACTCAAAGCATCATAGTATGCTCTATCTCACAATTGACGATACCATTTGGCATTTATTAGAAAAATAATAATTCATTATTCGGATATTAACCCCTCAAATTGTAACTATGGCAGCTAACTGCTCTCTTTGCAATACTTTTCTGTTTGGTTGAAAAAAGTGATCGAAAAAAATAATCATTGTATTGTTTTAAGAACTTTTTTGGAATTGTTATACTTGTGTTTTTTCATAAATAAAATAGTTGTGTGTGCAACAATGTGAATTTTATGAAATTAAAACTTTGCACAAACCAAGATGTGAAAAGGATAGTGTTTGCCAACATTCTGTTTCCTAGTAATATTTGATATTTCATATTTCATCTTTCTCAAACTTTTTTTTTCTTCGTTTCAAGTCACTGTTGTGTGTAATTTATGTGATATTATGGCTACTAAACTGGAATCATATTTACTCCTTTCCTTTCAAATTACTATATGCAAAGCATAAACAGACTCTTAAAAGCATGTGGTTGGAATTTTATTGTAACTTCTTTTTCGCAATGATGAAAGGTTCGGGTTGCTGAGTACAACAATGTTCGTAGCCAACTTAATGCCATAAACCGTAAGCAGGCGGGAAGGTACATCATTGCTACCAAAATCTATGTTAATTTGGTGATTTCTTCCTTCATAATACTTAGGAACTTCTTTGCTTTCTAGGTGAGTAGCCATACTGTTCGAGTGTATACACAATGCTAACCACTGTTTGTAATTGTCCTACATTTTGCCAAATAAGACAATAAATTTATCAAGAATTCAGTCCATTTTCTTCAGAAGCTTCTTGGATACATCTGTGAAATCAATTGCCCAGTGTTTGCTCCAAACACCTTATTTATTTAGTTAAAAAAAAAGTTTTAAAGTGGTTGGATAGTGTTGGGCTGTGGTTAGTTAAGTTTTTTGTTTTAGATTTTGCATATAAAGTTTGCTATATATAACCTGTTGGCAATTTAATTAAATTAAGTTTTTCCTTCCTCCCAGCTTAGCTGTACGTGATCTGTCCAATTTGGTGAAGCCTGAAGATCTTGTTGTGTCAGAACACTTAACTACTCTGCTTGCTGTTGTTTCCAAATTTTCACAGAGAGACTGGTTGGAAAGTTATGAGACGCTCACTACCTATGTTGTAAGACACTCATTACCTTTTTCTTCTCTTTTCCCCTCTGTATATTATATTATAATTCCTGAACACAATTTGCTTCTTATTTTATACTCTGTAGAACAATTAAGAGCCCCCTTCCCCCTCTTTATTTCTAATAATTGTATACTTATCCTACAAGTGCTACCTTTTCATTGAACTAATTGTTTTAGGTTCCCAGATCCTCCAAGAAGCTGTATGAGGACAATGAATATTCTCTTTATACTGTAACACTATTCAGCCGTGATGCTGATAATTTCAGGAATAAGGCGCGTGAAAGAGGCTTCCAAGTAAGCTTTCCATTTGCTAGAATTTCATATCCATTGCTATTACATTGACAATCTTTTCCTGTATTTATCGACATTTATGGAGAAGTTGCATTTTATAGGGAAATTATTATATTTATTAGTAAAGGCAACTTTTTTCATGGGATGTATAATTGTGTCTGTCATTTAGATTCGTGATTTTGAGTATAATCCTGAAACACAAGAAAGTCGGAAGCAGGAGCTGGAAAGACTGATGCAAGATCAAGAAGCATTCAAAACCTCCCTTTTGCAATGGTGTTATACCAGTTATGGAGAGGTACCTATTTTCATAAGAATTCAAAATTATTTTAACCAAGATTCTTTCTAAATATCATATGAATCATCATTTTTTATGAAAATTGGCTGTGGTTCGTTTAGGTTTTCAGCTCCTGGATGCACTTTACTGCTGTGCGTGTATTTGCTGAGAGCATTTTGAGATATGGCTTGCCGCCATCGTTTTTGGTGATAATCTCAACTATCCTATTTTCCTTATCGTTCATGCTGCTATACTATTCCTCGCACTATTGTATGAGGTTTGCCTTATATGCATATTCAAAATTTCATTTCAGTCTGTTGTCTTGGCACCATCAGTTAAAAGTGAGAAAAAAGTGCGTTCTATTCTCGAGTCACTTTGTGACAGCTCAAACAGGTAAATATTGCTTTTCGTACTTTCTTTTACTTTCCACAAGAATTTTAAAGCATTACTTCTAATGTATGGATGGATATTAGTGAAAGACCTTTTGTTAAGTACTCCCTCTGTCCCTTTTTACTTGTCCTATTTACTATATGGTCAAACTAACTTTTTTTTTGTTTATTTTTTATTATTTTTAAATTTGATTTTTTTTAATGTTTAATAGTACTTTTAATGTAGTTTATAAATATATAAATTTTATATTCTAATACTAAACTTTAGTATTATGAAAAATTGAATTAAAAATAACTTCAGTCAAGCCTCGATAACTGAACCAGACATATAAAATGGGATAGAGGGAGTATAACCTGAGCTATACCACCTCTTATGCACAACATATATTTGAGTGTGCGAGTCCATCTCCCTAGAGAAATTCTAGCATGATTGTTGAATTTGGAAGATGGAATGGCCTGGCGGGTAAGAATAACAGCATTCGCCAGTTAGGCGGAAGCAATGATGAAGAGTCAAAGAATAGAAAATGTATATAAGACTGAAATATATTATTATTATCTGTGTTTCTAACAAAGAAACATAGTACATATATATATATATATATATATATATATATATATATATATATATATTCAAACACATAACTGTAAGTAACTACCCATAACTAACACCTATTCATAAACGGACACAACCTTATAGATAAAACTCTTTGTTTTTCAACAATGATAAACTGTGGCTCTTGCAATGAATTTGTATTTCTGTTTCGAGTATAATACTTTGACCATAACACACGTTACCTTGATCTTCGTTATTTAACTGCAGTACCTACTGGAAAACTGAGGATGAAGGAGCAGTGGGTGTTTTTGGAGGCGATACAGATGCTCATCCTTATGTCTCGTTTTCCATAAATCTTGTTTGAGTTGAGGCATTGATTGATTTCATTTGGTGGTCTGATATATTTGTTCTTTTTGTAGCCTTCTTCAATAAAATAGGAGTGTGATGGTGAGATTGTACTATACAGAAATTTCCTAAGTTATAGTAATTTGTTTGTTAAATGCAGCAGTAGCAGCTGCTGCTTGAATTGTAATAATATTCTTTATCCTCATCTCCTCCTATGAGGTCTTATTTTCTTGAGTTTTAAAATGTATTAAGGTTAAATTGTCCCATTGTTTGGAGCTACAAAGTATAAATTAAAGGGAGTATTAAATACCATAATCTGAATATATTTGTATAATATAGCATGATATTTTTCATCCTCTGACTCAATTTTGGCCGATGTGGAAAAAATTTATGTTTGGTAAATAGTGTTAATTGTTAGTTGATTGGGTTAGTAAATTTCACTAATTGATTGTGGAAAGATGTTTGGTAAATTAGCTGATAGTTTATTACATATAAAATGACTTTCTCAAAAAGTTGATTGAAAAAATTGCTTTGAGTTGCTTTTTGAATTTAAGTATTTAGGAGCAATAAGTTGTTATAAGAAGTTAATTAATCAAATATAGTTGTTTAATCAAGTCAAACACTCACATTGATTGTTTAACTAAGTTAAACAACTAATAATGATTTAATAAGTCAAAATTGGTTGATAGGATAGCTATTTCACTAAATAGGACCAAAGTCAAATAGACACTGCATCTATTGTTTTATTATTTATAAGTAGATCAGAAAGACATAGTATTTTTCTTGTAAATAAAATATAATTTTTTACAAAAATATCCCAACTCTTTAAAAAAAAATTATAGTAGTCGTTTTTTACATTGTAAAATATTACAAATATTTATCATGTGATAAGTAAAATTATGATTTATCAATTACATATACATAACACACTTTTATAAGACTCCAACTCTTAATTTAAAGATTAGGACACCCTTGCCCGTACGGGCTTAGTTCACTGGTTCAGTAGACAGTATTTGGGAGAAGATTATTATGGAACCTTCTGTACTATTTGGCCAAAGAAGTCATTAGCATGAACTAAAGGACAGGGCTAGAAACCTTGTTTAGTGGGGAAACGGAAATTAAATAATTTCAAAAAGTGAAAAAATATTTATGATAAAATATGAAATGGTTGGAATAAGTTGCATATCATTTCTATTGAATTAGATCAACTCTAAATATTTTTATATTAATTTGAATTATTGAATACGATGATGCATAATTAAAACTTCTAGATTTCATTGACTACATAGTTTATAAAAAGTAATTTTTAATTTTTTTTTCATAATTGAATTACAAAATATATTTTGTATCAATTAATTAACTAATCAATTTAAATATTTTTTTTTTGAGATTCTATTGAGAAGATAAAATGAAAATGTAACTATATATCAATTAAAATACTAGTTTTTTTTTTTTTTTTTTTTTTTTTTAAATTCTAATGAGAAGATAAAATGAAAATATAAATATAGTCTAAAGTATGTTGGGGATTGCCATACTATATATATGCAAATACATACACACATATATAGTGAGGGTGGGGTGGGATGGGGGAAGGGGGCAACTATCAACATAAAACATATTAATCTTTTGTATTATTCAATTCTCATTATAAACTGCATCATTCTAATTAAATGTGCTCTTCTGTATTTTTTAAAATATAGATATATTCTACCTCAAATAAAAATTAAAATTGTTAATAAAGATGTACACTTATTATTTTATGTTAATTTATTCTCAACATGTACTTTATATGTTGACAAAATATATTTTGATAGACCATACACATGAAAATATTTGAGGTAACACACATGATTTAACCCTAACCACCACTTCTAATACATACTATCTTAATGCAATAAATTTTAATTAAAAATTTAAACTGCTAATCAGAATATTGTAAATGTAATTATTTTATATTTACTATTGATGTTTTTTTTTTTTTTTTTTTTTTTTTTTTTTTTTTTTTTTTTTTAAATAAATTAGAGGCCCAACACTGGGTGGATTTTTTGTTTAGCGCAGGAGATTTGAGAGGGATCGGATAGGCCAATTATTGTATGAATTGTGGTCCACACAGCTGTGTGAATCACAGTCCAAAACGACGTCGTTTTGATGTTTTAAAAAAAATTCTGTATTCTGCGTGCGTGTTAGAATAATGAACATTCTAGAATAAGATAATGTATTTTATGAGTTAAAATCATGTATTTTATGTGTTAGAATAATGTGCTTTATGTATTTTTGGATCACGGTCCACGCAATAATGATTGAGATTGGATATTGTTGGTAAGGTACGTTGGAAATGTCAATAGAAAGGAATCAAGCATTTAGTGCCTTTTCAGTGTTGTAATTGTATTGATTATGTGAGTTTTACTAAGGGAGTATGACTCAATGTTTAAGTACAATTTGAATATGGTGTGATTCTTGATTGGTTGTCTTAGGGAGAGAGTTAGAGAGAACTCCTTACTCGTTGCCTTTCTTTGTATTTATAGGCAGGGGCAGAGCCAAGATTTATTGGTGCGGGGGTCAATATTAATTTGAGAGAGAATAACGATGAACAGAGAATAATTAACTCCATAACTTGATGGTAAAACTTCTCTACCAACTTGCAAACGTCATCAATTCTGAATGATATACGCATCTCTTTTGGATCTAACGATGAACTGAGAATAATTAACTCCATTGTTTTATCATCAAACCTATATTGCTGATGTTTGCCTCTTCCTTCCAGTCATGGAGGAGGCAACCGCCGTCGCCTCCTTCCAACCTGGAAGGAGGCGACGTAGGCCACTTTCCAGAACTTCGCCGGCGACGAGCGGGCAAAAATTAAATTAAAAAAATATTTTTTAAAATTTTTTACCTGTTAACCTGTTGATTACTTGTAAATAGGTCTAATTGTACAACTTTAAAGAGTTCAAGGGTGTAATTGAACCTTTTTAATGTTTGAGGGCCTAATTGCTTTTTCATCAAACGTTAAAGGGTCTATTTGACCCTTTTCCCTTAAAAATATCAAATTTGTAATGATGTCCAATTGTTAATTCATCTTGTTGATGCCTAGACCTCCTCTTCTTGCAATATATTGAGTATCAAAATTCGGCACAATTATGTTGACAGTTTCACAAAAAGACTTCACACTTGCAACTAATTCATCTCATCCACTATCTCTTAAATTTTGAACAAGCAACTTAGTAGATGACACAAGATGCATTGCAATCAATAGTAAAATTGTTCATTATTATGAATATATAGTTCAAAATTTATAAACATATAGTTGTGAACATAATTATGACATATAATTTTGTAATTATGAATATATAGATTCAATAATTGTGAATATGAAGTTAAAAAATTATGAAATATAGCTTTATAATTATGAACATATAATTCAGTAATTATGAACATAGAGTTCTGTAATTATAAATATAGAGTTCACTAATTATGAATATAAAGTTCTAAAATTATGAATATATAGCTTTATAATTATGAACATATAATTCAGTAATATGAACATAGAACCGTGTTTATCTTGCAAGATGGACACGGTTCCACAGCATAACGATTAATACTTTGGTGAAGGGAGCCAAAATAATAATAATAATATTATTAATATTTTTTTGGGGAAGGGGTGACCAAGGGCCCAAGACGACCAGTTAATAAATCATCTAAATCCTCCAAAGACTTCACTCATATTAGTATTATTAATTATTTTTTTGGGAGGGGAGGGGGCCAAGGCTCCCTGCAATAACAATGTGCATCCGTCCCTATTTATAGGTAGTATGTAATATGTATAACTTCCCCTACACATCTCCACCCACGATACTTGTGGGTCAAACATAGTTGGATATTAGCTTGGTTAAAGATGAAACAACACATCGAATGTCTCCTACATAAACAACTTCCAATTGGATCCTATACTTTCCCAAATAATTAAGGTTTAAAAAAAAAAAAATTATTTTGGGTGTTTGCAAAAATAACTTATCAGCCAAAATCTGATTTGTTTGATCAACTTTATATGTTTGACTAGTCAAACAACTAATATGAACATTTAATAAATCATTCTTTTGGTCTAGCATATTGATGTCAATAAGTTCAAAATGAAAAAAAAAAAAAAAAATTCTACTTTGAGTAGCTTATAGATATTAACTTATTGTATTTTTGTTTTAAAAGACTAATTTACCTTTAATAATTGTTAGTAGTGTTTATATTTATTCAAATTTACTTTTAATTTCATCAGAACCGCCTGGAGCATACATATGGAAATGAGAACAAGTCATTGAGAGAAAACTAAGAACCAATCTCAATCTTACATCTGGAAAAATCGAACATACCATGCATATCAAATTTAAAAAAAGAATGCGGTGATATTTTCGTAATTATCACTAATTTTACTATGCAAACGTGAACATTAAAATATGCACTTCTAAAAATTAACATTTTCCTTTCAAAAAAAAAAAGGATTAACATTTTCCATATTTGGAGTTTATGACTAAGTTTTTTTTGGTTTTTAGTGGTTCACTTTTTACTAATTAGGGTTTAGCATTTACGATTTAAATTTAAAATTTATCTTTTCATTGATTTTTTAAAATTTATCCAGGTTTACAGATTTAGTTGTTACATATTGCATATATAAGTGTTTAAGTATGCAAAGTGAAGTTGACGATAATTACAAAAATGCCACCACATTTTTTTAGAAATATGATCTGAACCATCCAATTTTTTTACAAATATAAGATTGTGATTGATTTTTAGTTTTCCCATGATGGTGTTTTCTCATGAGATCCTAAACACACACGCGGCGCGCACACACACACACACAAACACAAACACACACACACACACACATACATATATAGGGTTACACTCAGGTGCGAATAGGTGCCCAGGCGCGAAATGCAAACCAATCAGCGCGCGCCACGTGTCAACATTCATCGATTGGGTGCACCTACAAGTGCACCTACTTTCGCCTGCAAGTGCATGTAGTTTTTGCCTCTACTTTCACACAACTACTTTCACCTACAAGTGCATGTAATTTTGTCCTGTTATCATTCATTGATCAGGTGCACCTACTTTCACCTATAAGTGCACCTACTTTCACCTAGGTGCACCTAATTATAACTATATGTGCACCTAGATCTGGACGCGTGGCGCGCGCTGATTGGTTCGCATTTCGCGTCTGGACGCGACATTCGCACCTGAGTACATTATTTATATATATATATATATATATATATATATATATATATATATATATATATATATATATATATATGTTCAGGATCATATGAGAATCATTCCTTAAGTGATGAGAATGTGCGAATTGAATGAATGCACCACAACTACTCTACAAATGCATCACAACTAATCCAGCTTTGTCAAAGGTTCCATATGTCCTGCAGGCATGCCTAGAGTAGTTGCGGTGCATTCATGAAATAGTTACACTGCATTCGAAAATAAGAATTTCAATTTAGCTATTGGCTCTTTGTGCTTCAGTGGATTGAGAAAGTAGTTATAAACATATATTACATTATAATAAAGTCATAGTATTCAAAAAAAAAATCAATTTAGTTAATGGTTAAAGCATTTTGTAAATCCTATTAATTTGATTCAGTTATTAATCGAATGAAACGCCTACCTAACACGTTACATTGGTCGGAAAAATTCACCTTCACCATATAATATTATAATGTATTCCCAAAAAAACATCAGCAGAAAAAGATTCCAACAGAAATACTTAAAAAAAAAAAAAAAAAAAAAAAATAGTCCACCTCAACGTACACTGCAGTGACTAGAAATACCGTAACGGTAAAAACACAACTGTAATAACGGAAATAATTAACTGCTGTTCGTACAACCCTATATATAATAATTACTTCTAGGAGTTCTATATAAAAGAAAAAAAGAAGAGTAAAGTACTAGATTATTTATATAATTTTCTCTTATGTCTACGTAGATTTCAATGACATATTCTACCATACAGTGATTACAGTCATAGTCATTAGTGTCTCTAACATACAAACATTTTTGATATACACTAGTTTTGATTAATGAATTTTTGGTCTTTGGTCTCCCATATCCCATAAGAGCTGTCCATTGCCCTGAAAATCATGTATTTTCATCATATTAATATTAGTTAAATGCTACAAAAAGAAAAATTCATTACACTCCGAATTATCATGATATGATAGTCAAATTACAATAATAATAACTATACTAAAAAGATTTTTTTTAAAAAATATTAAATGAATGAGTTTTATATTTAAAAAAATTATGCTTTTCTTCTCCCAAAATGTTGAATCCCCAACTCCCATGGTCCCCCACACTCCAGCCCGACAGAGCATTTGGGAGGATGTAAATCACAGTAACTTAATGGCTCAGCAGACAGGGCCAAATGTCAGTGCGTATAAGGGATCTGCCAACTTTGAACATAATCTCACATTGCAGCTGAGGTTTGAACTTTGGACTTTTCTCTCAAATACTACCTACGAGAAAGTCTGCAACCCCTAGCTAATCAGCTCATATCGAGAAGGTCGATAGGCCGTTCTCATTGGGAGTCGAACTTGGAACCTTGTAGTTACTAAACCAACAACTCGACTAAGTTGGAAAAAACATTATTAATATAAAATATATGAGATGAGGTGAGAGAGTGAAAAGCATGGGTGCATGGCATAGATATAAGATACCTGATTGATAGGGTTTAGGAAATGGGGGTGTTGATAGAGAAGTGAAGAAGTTGGAGTAGCAATGAATTGGAATTGATAGTCAGAATTGGCTATACTTTGAATTGTCGGCATTAATGTCAAGTCACTTTTTGCCTCAGACATCACTGCACCTATTTCTATGCTGCCCCTCATGGTAGGGTTCCATTGCTCCTGCTCCATATTAATATTGTCCTGTAAACCATACATAATATAAAATAATTAATTCAGAAATTAAATTGAAGTAGAAATCCATGCAAAATTCAACTATATATATATATATATATATATATATATATATATATATATATATATATACTATATTATTGTAATTGTACATGGTTAAGGTTAAGTCCAACCGTACCGCAGGAGGAGCATGCAAAATGTCCAATCCACCATCATAGAACATGGGATTCTCAGAAGCAAGCTTCATGGACAGAAACTGTTTTAAAAAAAAAAAACAGAAAAAATTAATTAGTGAATCGAAGAATATATGTTTGCATGCATTTTGGCATGAGGTTAGAGAGTCAATCTCTATATGAACAACTTTATGAGGTGGATCTGTTTGTAGGGTATTTATCAGGGTTGGAGATGGTGCGAGAGGAAGATGCAGAGTCACCGGCTGGCGGCGGTAATGATGGCTCACCGCCAGCAGTGCGACTTTCATGGTGGAGGTGGCGGCACTAGGGTTCGTAGCCATGGATTGTGAGGCCGGTCTACTAATACCGAATGAGAAGAATAATTCTGTGAAGAATTTTATTATTGAACGATTCAATTTACAAGATACATATAAAATGTATTTATAAGGATACAAAGAGTCCAAGTAATTAGTGTAACTAGAATACAAAGTCCTAATAAGGTGATCTGATGTACTTTATTTTTATTATTTATAGTTAATAGTTAATATCGAGTACTTTTAACACTCGTCATGTTGTCTTTAGTCTTTATAGTACTAGTAAAATAAGCACAACATGCTTGATTATACTTGGTACAAAATGCACCCTTGAAGAAACCTAAATATTCATTTTATTGGAAAATATTCATTATTAAACATGTAATTGATGAGTGTATATATAGATTGGTGTGTAATAAATTCTTGTAATCATTGCATGGAATTTTCTTTTTAAAACGTACAAAACAAAACAAAACATGGAAGCTCATTTAATGGATTCTGGATGGACTATAAATAATAATATGATTACCTCAACTTGATTTTGCAAGGACTGGACATAGTTGATAATTTCATCCAAGATGAGGGCCTTTCCACTAACCTGTACAATGGCATCATATCATATCAGACCACATTAATTTTTCAGAAACAAATTTACTTTTACAATATTACTTGTGACAAAAATGTGGAATCGTTCACTCCATGTCCGACAGTTTATGGAGAGGTAAATCATAGTGACTCAACTAATCAACAAATGTTAGATTTTTGCTTACTGTGCACAAAGAGCTCCCCTCATTTTGGAGGTTGCTCACATGCTGCTGCTGGTAGTGAGACTCAAATTTCACCTCTGTGACCAATTGAGCGGCTCATCGAGCACTTTTACAATACATTAGTGTGTGTGGGGATTACACATATTGGCATATATAAAACATAAAGAAAGAAATACATTCAAGAATATATAGGCCTGTTTGGTAAAATGGCTATTAGCTGTTAGCTGATTGTGTTAATTAGATGGTATAAATAGTTGATAACATTAGCTGATTGTAGAAAAGTGTTTGGTAAATTAGCTGTTAGCTGATAGCTGTTGGGTATAATTTTTTTTCTCAAAAAACTAATTGAAAAAGATGTTTGGAATAGCTTTTTGAATTTTAGCCTTTTGAAATTGCAAAAAGTTAATTAACCAAACATTTATATTGATATTTTAACTAAATTAAACAATTAATAGTGGTCAAATAAATCAAAATTAGCCTATATGCCAATTTTTTACCAAACAAGCCATAATAATTTGTTGAACTGCATCATCATATATATCACTAGCTTCACCTTATCACAGCCTGGAACAAGACCTTGCAGTATCTTCATCCTTTCACTGATTTTCTCCCTCCTCACCTAATATAATTAACAGATATGTATATCAATTTATTACAAAGTAAATAAATAATTAAAAGCTAAGAATTTTGAATCATTTTAGGGAAACATTACAATAAAATAAGTAGTTGATATATATGTTATGCAGTAAAAATATAATTAATATATGGTACCCTTTCAGCAAGACTGTGGGTGTCTGTTGCCTGGCCCCTCCTTGCCCTCACATGGATGTAACCCACAGGGGCCTCCTCTTCAACACCCTTCTTCTCCTCCATCTTCTCTGATGATTCTAATTCCTTCTCCTCATCACCATTATTATTATTATTATTATTATTATTATTATTATTATTATTATTATTCATCCTTTCCCTCTTCCTCTTTCCTTTATCACTTTCTTTCACACCCTACAAAATTAAAAATAAATTAATCATATTTTCATGGGAAACAACAATAATTTTCATGGTTATTGAGCGGTTTAACTTTAATTTACAGGGCGTTTGGTTGGAAGGAAGGAATTAAGGGCGAAATAAATTGTAATTCGGTGGGAAAAGAATAAGGTGAGAATAAAGTAGGAATTGAAATTACATTGTTTGGTAGAGGAATAGAATTATTCGGAATGGAAATGGGAGAAGTAATATAAAGACTAAAATACCCTTGTGTAATAATATTAACAATAACATTCAAGGACAAATATGTCATTTCCTTCCTATTCCCTTTTCTTTGTATGTATGAATTCAATGAATTGAGGGAATTGCAATACCCTCCAACCAAATAATGTAGTTTATCATTTCATTGAATTGCAATTCATGCCAACCAAACACCCCATTAGATAAGACAATTTTCATGAATTTAGTTCGATCTCATGACCTCCCACAAGGAAAAGATCATTACATGCCATCTGAGCATAAGGTGTTTGGCAAATTTAGTATTAGTATATGAAATTTATATATTTAGAAACGAAGTACTATTATTAAAAATAAAAAAATCAAATTTAAAATTACTTCCAAGAAAATCAACAAAGTTTTAGTTGAGATTAGGGGTGTGTTTGGTTCGAACATAGGAATCGGAATCGGAATGGGTATCAAATACTTGGTAATGGTAATGGGTTTTGGTGAAAGTATTTAACATGTTTGGTAGTAGGGTGGAATGAGAATGGTTACTAATAGTAGTGCTTGAGAATGAATAAGGCAATGAAACACTTATTTTATTTGGGTATGAGTTTTTCAATTGATGGGGTATTCGAAACCCATAGTAGTGTTCTAAAAACCTATCAACCAAACAACAACAATCACTTTCATACCCATTCCTATGAGCAAAACCCACCAACCAAACACACCCTGGAAAATCATTCTTCCATTGTAATTAGTACATGCATTATTTGATATCATTGCTAGTGCAATATATAGTAGAATGAATTGAATTTCCTGGGAAATTAAAGAAGTGAGCAAGCAAATTAAAGCAAGAATTGAAGATGATGAATGATGTCTCCATAAGTGCAGTGAATGTTACCTTAGATTGAGCAATGGAAGAGGCTTTCCTGGATTTCCTTTTCTTCTCCATTGGAGTGGGCATCATCATCATCTCCTCACCCACAAGGCTATACTTAGTGAAAGAAGAAGATGAAGAGCTAATTATGTTGGTCACAGAGGGAGAGGGAGAGGGGTGACGACTGTGACTGTTACTGTTACTTATTAGGGATTCAAGTTCACAAAACTCAGAAAAACTGTTTGGGCCCTCAAAAAAGCAGTCAGACATCTTTATGAATATAAATGAAGCTAGCTAGCTAGGTAGAATTATATTATATTGATGAATGAAGAACAGATATATATATATATATAAATATATAATTTGTGAGTTGTGAACCTCTAAGGCTCTAATTGGTACTAACAAAAAGCTGTCATTATTATTTCTTGTTCTGATAATTATTTTTTGTATGCTTTTTTGAGCTTTGGGATTCTAAAACTGAAAGGCTTCGTTCAAAGAATGAAAGTGATGGAAGAGAAAATGTATGTATATATGTGGAGATTGAAGACTGGATGGATATATATGCCCGCAGAACATATATATAAAAATTAAAATAAAATAAAACTTGCATTTATTGTGGGTCTCAAGAAAATCTCAGGTGGCCTGCTTTTATATAAGGACTGGGAGAGCTGAGTGGGAAAGGACACACTTTACCACTAACCACTCTTCACTTCTCAATAATATAATGTGTTTTCTAAAGAAACCCTTCACCTTTCAAGTACACTTTATTCTCATTATTATATTGATTCAAGAATGCAGCCTCAAAAGTCAAAATGAATGATCAAGTGGGTGAAACATGATTCTTATATAAGTAAGTTTGGAAAACTCAATAAAAATATTAGGATCTATGCAGTGCATACGCTCGAGGAGTAGCCATGAAAACGTACATATTCTAAAGGTAATACTTTCAAATAAAGTTTAAATCTTTTTTTTTTTTTTTTTTTTTTTCATTTGTGGTGCGACTAATTTATTTTGGTATTACTTGAAGCTTGATGATATTTATAAAAGTTATAGACTCCGTTTAAACATGTATATTATTATGGACCATTTTAATCATCATATAGTATTCGAAAATATTATTTAAAGACGATGTACTTCATGATATATATTAGGTAAATGTCTTTATCTTTAGCTACAATTCTACAATAATTTGTTCACAAATTATCCAACAATAGTTTCCAAGACCCTTCCATCAATATAAAATGCCAAACTTCCTCAAGCAAAAAGGACCTGTCCACACTTCTTTTCAACCAATCTCAAGCTAAGCTACTCCCTACAATACATTAATTACACAATTCATCTCTCTCTCTCTCCCGCAGAATCCTTCTTCTCCTAAAAGGTTGAATCCCCAACTCTAAGCGACCCCCTCACCCTGACCCGACAGAAAATTTCGACAGGATTAAATGTCGGTGCGCACAAGGGATATGTCCACTTTGAGATAATATCTCCACATTGCCTCCTAAAAGGTTGAATCCCCAACTCTAAGCGACCCCCTCACCCTGACCCGACAGAAAATTTCGACAGGGTCAAATGTCGGTGCGCACAAGGGATATGTCCACTTTGATATAATCTCCACACTGCCGATACCGAAATTAGAACCTTAGTCTCTTCTCTCAAATACTACCTACAACCAGTGAGTTAAGCCTGTGCGACCTCTCCCACACATTCCTGGATAGAGAGCATGTCAACTCCATATAATTCCTGCTTCAACAAGAGCACATGGGAAACATTTCCCCTAAGACTAAACAAGATCAATCTGATCTACGTCTTTAATTAATTGGTATTACATGTACTTTTGTATTTATTTGTTTCAACACCGGCCAACAATATAGTTGAATTTGTCTTCACTTAAGAAAATTTTATCATTTTTCATATTAAAGTTTCATATCGATCTCGATTTATTTTTTTCCCACACTTTGTCAAACATACATGTACCTGCTCACATTTTTTTTCCTTGAATTTGGCTTTACGTAAGAAAACTTTGTAATTTCTATTTAAAAGTTCTTATCTAACTTTTTTTTCACACTTTACACAAAATTTTTTATCTAATTTTTTAACACTTTATCAAACATAAATGTACTCGCATATTTTTTGATTACTTTAGGTCATTCATGATCTTAATTTTATGTGAGAGCATTTCCATGGACTCAAATGCTTCACTCAACAACCTTTGGGACATGATTAATTATAACAATCATGGGTATTTAGGCTCGAACGTAATTGCCAATGACCTTGTGGTTTAGTGGCACGAAATGACTCTCACAAATGAGAAATCATGAGTTTGATCCGTAGTGGGTAGTACTCAAAAAAAAAAAAAAAGGCTCCAACGTAATTATTGTGTTATTTTAGTATTGCAATTGCAATTGCAATTAGGTTCTTAAAAAAAAAAATACTTAATGTTTATAGCTGCAATTTTGTCAATTAGGCGCCATATATACTATTTTTTGTTGCTTGATTGTACAATAACATGCATGTTGCTAGTACTACTCAACTATAAGCCATCCCAACATAAACTAAAGATCGAAATAAATAAATTGACTTGATTGGATGGTAATGAAATAAATAAATAGACTTGGATGGTAAAGGCAAATAGAATAAGAATCTGAATAAAGTGCTAGTGCTAGTACAAAGCAAAATATACAGGAATTTGGTACGTTATTAATTTAAGAAGGTATCAAATAACAATATAATGTGAAAATTTTTAAAATTTATTTTTCAAACAAATGACAGCTCTTTAATTAGAAGAATTGAGAGACGGAAGTCTTTATTCTATTATGCAATGTCTTTTGCATGGGTTGTAACATGTCTACATATATATATATATATATATATATATATATATATATATATATATATATATATATATATATATATATATATATATATATATATATATATATATATATATATATCCAATGAGGATACATGTCTTTTTGGGAAGTTGTCTTAACAATATTGCCACAGTGTGGGGTAACATGCACTCAATGTGGAGATCGGGCTCATCGTGAACGTTAAGTATTGGTCCTCTCACTTAATAGGTCGCTGAGTCACCATGATTTACTGCTTCACCATTTTATGAGACCGGGATATCAGATTATCAGGGCTTCACCTCTGTGGGCAACATATTGTGCGTGTTTGTTTTGTAAGTAGCATATAGTGACAAAACTAACAGCGGTGGCCAAAACACTATGGTAGAATATAATGTATATGAAAATCACCAAACCTCATTTATAATTGGATCGGTGCACATGCATAAAGTATGTCACATCTAAACTGCATGGGATCCAATGGAGACAAAATGTACTTTTTTGTTCACATTGACAATTAATACATGGCTTGTTTTCCATAAGTTGAACTTTGCTCATACATTATTATTATTAACGTAATAATATCCGCATGGACTTCTCAATTGTTTTCCATAAGTTAATACCCGCATCGGTAGTTCAGTTTGTCATAAAAATGAACTTTGAGAACAATGATTCAGAATCGAGTCTCGCAATGAAGAGTAACCTCTCAAAGTGAGAAATCTCTTTAATTGTGCGCAGTTAGCAAAAGTCTAGCCTTTATGTTCAGTTAAGTTACTTTAATTTACATCCTTTCAGATGCTCTGTTGGACCGGAGCATAGGAATTCTTGAGGTAGGGGATTCAACCTTTCACCAAGTAATAACATCCACAAAACTGACCTTTGCCTAGCTTGTGGCAGTACATACTCCAGTTGTATATATCAATACATACATTGACTCCCCAGCAACAAGCAATCATTACTTCAAATTAAAGTTCAACAAATAATCATTATTTACGAAGTATAATTTTATCCAAACATTTAAATTTTGACAATTTAATATCAAACTTTTGTATCTTGTGACAATTATATCAAATTGTGAATAATAATTATATTTAGATTTTTAAAATTTGACAAATTAGTATCATATATTTGTATTTTACAATAATATAATTAATTATAATATCTAATACCAAAAAAAAAAAAAAACATTTTGTATTGAAATGTCTATTATTTGATGCAATTGAAATTTTAAAATTAAACTCTTAAAAAGAAAAGGTATTCTAGATATATAAAAACAGGTTCAAATATGAAACTTACCATTAATATCTAAATAAGGATAATTGAACTATTTTTAGAATTAGACATTATAATTAGAGTTAATTCCATTTTTTGTCCTAGATTTATACGTGACAGTCTACATTTAGTCATTTTTTTTTTAATTAGAACATCTTTATTTGGTTCTAGTATTATTGTGGCATGATCATTTTTAGTCCTCCATCAACAAAATCGGTGAAATATCATAAAATACAATTTTAAATTTTTTTAATACAAAGTAGGTTAAACTTCTATATTCTTTATGTTTACTTTTTGAAAAAAATCCACAATTAAAGATCAAAATGCCTTTGTATTTAATGATATTTAAATTGTTTTGTTAATAAAGGACAAAAAATAATGGTCATTTTACAATAATACTAGGGCTAAAAGTGGGTATTTTTATATAAGAGGACTTAAAGTGGACTACAACCTATAAATCTAAGATAAAAAATGAAATTAATTATAACTCTTATGATTAGATATAATTGTAGGTTTGAGTTTTTCTTTTCTTTTTTCCATCAATATGCCAAAACTAAATATTGATATAATTAAGCCGAATTAAGATACTCATATAACTAAAACAAGATAACTAGTTTGAACAACAAAAAACAAATCTTTCATGAAATAAACTAATATAAATTATAATCATACCTCGTCTCTACAAATTTTTTTTTGAAGTTGTACTTAAATTTAATAGATTCACACTTATCGAACTAATTTTTTGAGATGATTTTTAATTTTTAATTTTTAATTTTTAATTTTTGTGCTTAAATACCTATCATGAAACTCTGGAATAATGCATGCATATGCTATAGCAGATGGTGAAAGTTCATTGAACATTTCAAGACAAGTGAAACTGTATACTACGTACGAAACGTATTGTCTCATTGTTGTATCATTATCACAACTTATTACATGATCATGGTTTAAATCTTTTCAGCTCGCATAGGCAACTCAGTTGATCACATGGGTGAAATTTGAGAAGAATGACGATCGAGTTTTCAATTATCATAATTTATATCCTCCAGATGCTCTGTCGGGCCGTAGTGTGGAGGACCCTTAGAGTTTTTTTTTTTTTTTTTTTTTTTTTTTTTTTTTTTTTTTTTTTTTTTTTGAGAAGAATGGTTAAATCTTTTACATCATGGGAAAAATTAGGATCACATTGATGGATTGAG